GTCCTGGACTTGGACTTTGTACTGTATATGTATTGAAGTCTATGGTGAGATATGTGATCAACTGCAGCTGGGGTCAATTAAACCTAAAAAGGTAGGATAAAACGACTTCAGTTTTCCTAGTTGATACCATATAGGCTAAACTTGCACTATCCAGTTCACAGCCTTTAATAATATAATATTTTTAACTTATTGATTCTGTTTAAGATATTTTTGATTTTGTGTGTTGATGGTGTTAAGTAATAATCATTTAAGAAATCGAAATTCGTAATCAAAAGACAACTTATATGTATGAACTTAAATATAACTTATATGTATAAGTTAGCTTATAACTTGTGCATATTAGCAAATGAAAATTCTGTGAGAGATTTATTACATGTAAAAATTAAATAAAATGATTTAAACAGTAGGTTTGTTTTAAATATAATATTCCTGTAACATGGAAAGGAAGAAAGAATTACTAGATGTTGAATGGCTCCTTATCTCTGTCTCTTTGCCATCTTGAATTCACAGATGAGTACAAGTCCTAGCCATAGTCCTGATCATAAGTATTACAAAAGTATGCTATTCATCAATTAAAAATGTGAATCATTAAAAAAAATTTATTTGTACTTCTGAATAGAATTTTGCAACAAGTATAATTTCATACCTTAAAATAAATTAAATGTATTATGCCTTAAGTGCAATTATTTTTAATGCTGTATGTAATAATTTTAATTTATCGATATTAAAATTTTTAATTGTAACTCTTTTGTATATTAATATCGGCATCTGAAATTAAATCTAAAGTTGAGGATAATATTTTATTGCAGCATGTATGTTGCAAGCCTCTTGTTACATACTTCTATTAATATTATTCAAGCTCAAACAAATTTTCTAATGTTTTAATACTCTTTTCATACTATTCTGCACTTCGAAAAGAAATGCAGAGACAAATGGGAAAACTGAGAAAATTTGAATTCTTTTTTAATTAATTTTTTATTAATTTAAGTTCAATTATCTTTGAACTTTCTTCCATACAGAGAATAATTAAAAAATAAACGCTTAAAGCTAAAGACATGATTAAATATTAAAGTTCAGTGGAACTGTTAAAATTATGCTCTATAGGCGTAATGAAACTTTAATTTTACATAATTATTCAAAATCTGCTTGATCACGTACTATTTAAGGAGGAAACTTTAGCAAATTAGAATATAACTGGTTTAATTAAAAATAATTTAATTTTATTGTAGACTGTTGGTACTGCAATGTCCAACTATATAAGTGCTACTAATCAAAATTCAATTCTTTTCCCAAATTAATTCATAATAAAACAGACACTCAAAAACTGTTTTTTAGAATATTTTAGTTTTAAAAATTTTAAAAAAAAAGATTATTTAATCATGTACCATTTTATACTGTTTATTGAAAATTAGTAAGTGATATATTTCAAGTATTAATAATAGAATGAATTTAAGTCATTAAAAATGTTGAATTATTTAGTATGCAAGCCCATAATTCAAAACGTAAATTCCATTTGTCTAAAACTAAATTTCGAAAACTAAGGGAACGTGTTCACTCGGGTATCAAAATTTAGGTAATTTCTTAGTGCAAAGAGTTTTTCAAATTGAAGGGAAAATTGTTTGTTATGCATAGTGTCTGCAAAAACTGTGGGACAAAAGTTACACGATAATTAGTTGTTGTCTTCCATACATATTATGTTATTCTATATTTATGTTACATAATTTAGCACATTAAGAGAAATTTCCAGATCATTTCAGCTGGTCGGTCAGCAAAATTCTCTCCTGTTTGAAATTGTCGTTGCCTGTGAATTTTTCTATTTCCTCTATTGTTTAAGCCAGTTCGTTTCAACTCCAGACTGTCTTTGTAGCAGGTTTGACGTCAACCACGGCGGCATATTTTATATGGTGGAATTTAAATTGTACGATATGTTAGCGAGTATCTTTACTTGCAGTTACTCAAAAAATCATCAGTCAGGTCATGCGAAATCTATACTGGCACAGTTGAATTAACTGTTTTTCTCTTTTTTAATTGAAAATTTGGCAGCTTTTCATTGGTTTCATTAACACCATTAACTTATGCTATTGTATCGAAACTATTTCATAACTGAGTGCCCAAGGCATGCCCGCAGGAATTTGTCCTTGAAGGTAGTTCCTGAGATATATGTCTAATGAATAACAAAGGCATTCAATTACTTAAAAGGTCAAGGTTCAGAAATTCAGAGGGGGAATATGTGTTGTCTTAGAACAATGATTTGTACATTATTTGAGAGCTTTTACATCCTGTTTGTATTCTCGGAGCTCAACGGACAGTGAAATTTCACAAATGCTCCTCTAATCCATTTTGAACATCTTACTTCAAAATTATTTGACCGCGAAATCGAGACATTGATACGGAGGTACCTTTTAAAATAACAGTACATCTGGAATCTAATGGCTAGAGAAGTATGGCCTTTCAAACTGATTGACTAGTTTTAGGATATTTACGATTTCCAGGTTTCAGACTGCAATTGTAAAACTACTGTTGTTTCTTTTGACACGAAATTTATATTTATGTTCTTGTGATTTGTTTGAATAACAGTACCATCACAATAAACTTCCATGTGTGAAGGTCACTTCAGCATAAACAGATATATATGGAAATAAAGACAGACAGAATCATTAAGAATGAACTGATTAGAATGTAAGAAAAACTGCTTCTACATGTGTACAAGTACGCAGGAACTTATATTTATTTATGGAAATGTATACCTACATATCCATGTAGTACATATGTCTGCACTGATATAATATGGTATAAGTGCAGATATGCACATAAAGCGGAAAGCATGTGTACCCTTAAATGGGAATAACATATATATAGACATGTACATGTACACACACAGGCACACATATGCATTTATATATATGTGTTTGCGTGTGGATGTACGCATACATGTATAAACATACAGATATATGTATGTGTATATATTTCATCATCAAGCTCTCGAAGAAGTTTTTTTATTTCTTCTGCAGACAGACCTCTTTTCCTTTTCGGCCTATTGCTAGAAAAATGTCAAAATAATTCTTAAAAAACTTATGAAAATATGCTGTATTCTAAAGCAACACAAGGCTCTGTTTACAATTTGCAAACACAGTTATTGTGAATTCTGTAGCTATGTAGCTACAAGAACTAAAAGAGAAAAATTGGGGAAAACCGGATTCTTAACACAAAGGCCTTTGAAAGAGATAAGTGCTTAAAACCAAAGGGACATCAAATTTATCACCCCACTCTTTCAGCCTGGAAAATGGAGGAAAAAGACTTGGCCACTAAAGTGGACAACCCCGTCATTTCAAACAGAGGACTCTATGGCCACTATAATGGCCTCCCGTCTTCAAAAAGTTAATCTTTGATATGGCATGAAATTTAAAGACATTTCCTCCTAAAGTGTCCTCTAAATATATTTTGACATCTGAATTATTTTTTAAAATACATTTAAAAAACCAGTATTTAAAACAATTATTCATTTCAATAGCTGATCTTATCATCTAGGATTTTGAAACTTTACACAACTCAATCATCTGCATACATAAAACATGCTTTGCCACAAATTGTGGAAGTTTTATGTTAAAATTGCAAAGTAAATAGTACAAGTTTTAAAATTCTGAAAGATTTAGAGCATCATCATTCCTTGAATTTTTTTAAAGGAAAGAAAGAGAAAGTTGAGGCTACATAAATTAAAAATTATGCCATGTAATTTTTTCCCCATGCTAGGTTGAAAATTAGTGCCAAGTATTAGGTGTGAATGCCCCTGAAATAGCTTGTTTGATTTTTACTGAATTTGGTATTTATGCATAACTTGTTACTGGAATCAAACTGTGGGGAAAGAAATCGACATGTCATTTCTGAAAAGTTTAATTCTGCGTCAAAATATATATGTTAGACATGCATCTAATATGTATACTAATTTATAATTTTAAATATGAAAAATGCCATTTAACGTTTGTTTGATTGGCCAGCTAGATCAAGAAAAGATGGAAAACGGTCTCTTTTTTGACTCACTGTGCATTAGCATGTTTGGGAGAAAGGATATTTGTTCATGTCCATGTGCATGTGCATGATGTTCATTCCATAGAGTGCCAGCCATGCTGTATGAGATGGTATTTTGCTTAACTGTTTTGAGACACTTGTAGTGAAGGTGCATCTGAAATGTGCCACATTGCCAAGCCTTTTTTATAGCAAGGTATATTAAAGTTCAGATGTTATAGAATTTTTTGGGGGTAGTGTAAGTATGTTATACATGTGGAGATTATTGAGTCATGCTTAAAATTTCAAATTCCTGTATTTTTGACAAGCTCAGACACTGGAACTGATAATTATGTGTTACTGCATTTTATGTGATTTTTGAAATTTCATAATGGATTTATGTAAACAAATACACTCATGTCCATAAATTAAGGATAATGCAAAATCAAGAAAAGGAAGAGTTAGAAGCAAAACAAATTTGACTTATTTGTAAAGCTTATTTATTAAACAAAAGGTAAAGAGAAAAAAAAGATGCTATGTGTTTGATATTATTAAAAAAAAATGAGCGATTTTTTCTCCCTGGAGCAAATTACAAAACCAACCTATTTACAAAAAACCATATTCCAGACGGCCAATAATTCTACCACGTAAAAAATCATCCAAATGTGTCCTTTGTGTCATAACTATTCGGTTATTGCACTGAAATGCTTATAAAGCACCTGCGAGCAATTTTACTTCTTTGCCTGTATTCCTTATATATCACTCTCTTACACTCTCGTCATTGTGACGTACCATCGGTGTCATCTGGTTACTTCCTGAAATTTGCATATGATTCTTGAAGATGTGTGTAGTGATTTTACAGGGGATATATTTATTTTAGAGTTTGATTTCCGCATGACTACGAATTATCCTTAATTTATGGGCATGAGTTTATTTAAATTCAAGTCTAATTTATGTTGAATTTTTTTCTTTAATTTCTTTTAAAATTCCTATTTTAGATTCAAGCAGCATAGTTATCAAAACTGATTCTCAGAAAAAGGGTCATGATGAGACCCAGACTTCAGCTGGAGGAGAAATTTCTCTTAATGGTTAGTTTTCCCCCTTTTGAATGTATGCGGAATTTTACAAGGAAAATTTTAAAATTATGTTATTGTTACTAATGCTCAAGTCCAGATTCTGATGGATGAGATCCATGAGTTTATTCACCTTCAAAAAGTCATAGGATACTTAACCATGTCATCGTAGGACAAACCCAGACATCTAAGAATATGTGTTGGAGAAGCCTGCTCAGTGTTACATTTTGGACAAACCGAGTGTTTTTTGCTCAAATGTGTGCGGGGGAGGGAATCCACTGATTGTGCACATGACAAGAGGATTGAAGTTCCAATTTTGTCACCGTTACACCAGTTTGACAAATGTTGGATAGCACTATGACTATCAGTCATAATCCAGATGGCTTTAGGGTCTGAAAATGGCATTATATAGCTCAGTCCCTCATCGATAGTAAAGAGTTCACTTTTAAAAACTGAGCTAAAGTCAGGAATTCTTTTCTTGATTTTGATATTTCCATTGGGATATCTGATAAGTACTTCACTACCAACGTAAGAATCTACATTTTTGCTACCATCAGTATACATAAGCGTAGTGTTGTTTGAGATGTTATTTATAATTTCGAGGGCAAATTCTCAAAGGCAAATCGGCATGTCATTTTTCCTTGTGACCCTTCACAGAAGTTCAGTATGGAAACTGACACTTAGAAGACCCACTGAGGGGTTAGTGCATTGCTTCAAGAAGCATTGTTCTACTTTAGGGTCAAGTAATTTGTGCTTAATCTGATTAAACATACTGTATTACTTAAGTCTTTTATTATTGTGTCAATGCCGCAATAAATTCAAGGTACGATTTAGGGAACCGTAGCTGTAAAGTTTGTTGTAATACTTCACTAGGTTCAAGTTCCTTCTGAGACTGAGAGGTTGAAGGTCCACCTCAGATAACACAGTAATATTTGCGCAGCTGTTACATAAGCCAGTTATAACATGAGAGGTGCTAAGCTGTACTCTGTCCAATTTCTGGAGGTTAGTTGTTGAAGCACAGCAGTAAATAGGAAGGCTGTATTCCAAAATGGAATGGATAATAGCCAGATAGGTAGCTCTTAAAGTTCCTGCGTCAGTACCCCAATCCCGTCCTGGGATATATTTCAGTATACTAAGCTATTTCCTACTCTTAAGCACTAATGCCTCCACATGCTTGTTGCTAGTGAATTCAGGGTGTAGAGTAAAACCAAGATATTAAAGATGCTTCTTAAATTTGAGAGGCATATCAGCAATAAAAATTTTTGTATGATAATTATACAACCGTTTATTAGTAGTTAAAAAACTGACAATAGATTTAGATTGATTAAAAGTCAGCTTATGATCTTTGTAAGAGCTTCACATATCTGCTAGGGTAAACTTAATATTAGACTCAATTTTATCGTCATCTGATCCAGAGCTCCAGAGGGCAATATCATCTGTATGTATACTGACCTCACGTCTCTTTATTTACCTTTTCAACACCAGCCAAATACGGAGAGAAAAGAATAGGGCTTAACACTGGGCCTTGTAGTAAGTACTCCCTGACTCATGTTAAAGCTATATGACATGGTAGTATTGAACTTGAGTCTGAACAGTCAAGAAATCATAGATCCAAGATATAGCCTTTCCATCAATACCAAAATCCTTGTATATTTTAACAATCAGTTTATGTTTCCAGATCCTGTCAAAGGCTTTTGACAGATCCAGAAAAGCAGTCGCTGTATGATTAGTCGCACTCAGGTTTTGAGCGTATCTGATCTTCTGGCAGAGGTAGAGAACCTGATTTGTTGTGCTCTAACCTCTCCTGAATCCATACTATTCCTTTGAGAAAAGGTCGTGGTTGTTAAGTTGATAAAGCAATCGTTTCATATGAGCTATGTCAAAATTATTCAGAAGGGTATCTCTTTAAGTGGTAAAATCATTTGCACACTGTTTCAGAATCAGTAGAATGTAAATTATATTTTAGTACACTAATATGATTAATATTAATTGTAACTGTCATATAGATTTTAAAATAATACAAAATGTAACATTTAGCATGTGGTTATATTCACAGATGAGCCTTATTATCAGTTACTGCAGTATTCTGTTTATTCTTTTTTCATGTGATTTTGCATCACTAAGTTCAGAAGTCAACATATTCAAAGTAATAAACATGTTTAAGTTATCAAGTCTTACAAGAACAGTCACTAAGGAAATGGAATTGCATAGATTTTAAAGAAATTTTAATAATAAAAATATAATGTAATGTTCATGTGATGAATAATTTAAGTAATTTTGGAAAAGATCAAAACTAATTTTTCTACCAGTATCTTCCTAAACATTGCAGCATTAAAATATACTCTATAATGTTATTAAGCCATTAGATTATTAAATTTCACTATCAGAAGAAATAAAAATTGTTAACCTAATGTGTGTCAGAATTCTAAATGAGATTCAGAGTATGATTTTCATTTTAAACAGTAGTTAAGTATAAAAATTAATATAAATCATGATGAAAATATTGCTGCAGGCACTTTTTTTTAGTAGTCCAACATTGTTCAAAGTTTTATTATTACAATAAGAGTAAGTTGTAGTATTTCAGTTCATGGTGGAATATGAAGTCAAGTTGAAGGTGAAGAAGGGGCTCAGAACAGGTTTTCTCTGTGATAGTACACAAATGTTACTGACAAATTATTGGATAAAAGGATTTCTGGAGATTCTTATCTAAATTGAAAGATGAATTAAAGCGAGTGATAATTTTGGCTTCCAAACAGTGAAAATTCTGAATTTTATTGCAAAAATGGGAAGCATTTGAAAGCCTTTTGACTTCCTTTTGTTTCACAAATCTAATTTCTTCCTTCAGTCTAAGTTTTGAAGATCTGCAGGATAAGCAAGATCGCTCTCGGAAGGGATTTTATTAATGCCTCGGAAATGAAGATCTTTTGTCCTTTATAGATGAGAATTTGATCTTATTAATAGGATTAAAGGAAACTGGAAAACTATAATTGAAATGTCTGGAAATTAGATTGCCAAATGCAAGGATGAATGTCAGACAAATGGATGAAACTGGAGCATCCATGGTTCAATGATTTGAATGAGATGGATGTTTTGAAAGTTTCATAAAGTTTAGTTTTTGATGTCAATTTATGGTAGAATGATAACAATGTGAAACAATAACACCTTTCAGAATGTTGAGCTATTTTCAAAAAGCTGTGGGATTGAAGCATAAATGAAAAACCTAATAAAATAAGGTCCAGAAATGCAAAGTATTTTTGTATAAGCAACATTAATTTAAAATGTTACTTTGTCAGGGCTGCTATTCTTGCCTTTGAAAACATTTAGTAATACTGAATGGGAGCAGGGAGCTTATTCAAAGTATGCTTGTGTGTGTGTAGGACAAACAACACCACTAAGAAGTGTTAACTTTACCCTTTATTTTTCACAGTGTACAGCCACTCCCGCACTCCGGGATACAGAGATCAGCACTTATGGTCTAAAACATAGAAAATAAGAGATACACTAGCTTAACTAAATAAGAACTAAACTTAAATGCTTTACAGAGATTAGTAACATGAAGATTGGTCTTTTGGCACTACGTATGTAGTGAGCGAAATGCAATTAGTATATCAGTACAAACTAAGTTCTGGCCTTAAAGGCAGACATGAACTGACTGAAAAGCACACTAATGGCAGGGCAGCAAGAAGGCTGTCTTTTGTCTTGGCTAAAAGCCACACCTTAAATATCTATACAGTTTGCAATCTCATTAGCATAAACAATTCCTACTCGTGCTTATTCTGGCCGAAAATGGAAACTAAGAGAGGATGGCAGAGTTTTAAAACTAAAATAAACGTTAGTAAAACTTAAAATCCGTACAACTTATGTAAAAAAATTTTCTTAATTTTAAATGAAATTTAGCATATAGCTAAGTCTCACATTCTTGATATTGTTTTCTGTATTATATGTACATTTTCTTAGATTGCACGTTGCTATTTATTACAGAAACATACAGAGTTGTCAACTCTCCCGATTTTCAACCGCTCTCCCGCCAACACGATTTACAATATATATCTCCCGACTTTTTCTTATTCTTAAAATTTCTCACGACTTTTATGCAACTTGGCTTAATACTTTGTTATATGAATAAAAAAAAGTGCTTTTGGACGTCTGAAAGCAATTGAATTATTCTACATTATATCTAAAACAAAATCTTGCTAATCAGATAGCTTCTGCTTTGTGAGTGAAAGCATTATACGTATCCAGAAATGTCTTTCTCCAGTTCTCCAATGGGCTTCGAGCTCCACTGCGTGTCAGCTGGCATATATTAGCCAATGAGGACAAAGCAAGTTGTTATTGGACGTGCTTTTGTTATTTCGTTCATTTGTCCAGAGTTGGTGAGTACAACGTGCCTTAGGGGAAATAGTTTTATAAATATCATCTTTTGTTACGTCTGGGAGAAAGTGAAATACTCGTGTACGTTTCAAAAATCGTACACAGTTGACTTTCCTTCCATTATTTCCTCAAAGAAATGTAATAAATTTGCGATGTGTACTGCCCGTCATTGCGATTTTTCGATTTCGCATGGTGGAAGGGCGGATGTTATCAAACATGTACATACGCAAAAACACAAGGATAACATGAGTTGTTTTTTAAAAAATGAAAAACTAAATTTTTCTTTGGAAACAAAGGACCAAAAAGTTATTAATGCAGAATGTCTGTTCTCTGCCTTTTTACTGGAGCACATCCTGCCACTGAATGCATCAGATCACGCTGCAGCTTTATTTAGAAAAATGTTTCCCGATAGTGAAATCGCTAAAAAATACTCAAGGTGCAAAAATCAAAACAGGATCAATTGTTAAAGAAATGGGTTTGAAAAATAAATCTTCAGTTATTGATTGCTTTAAAACAGCTTCTTTCTGCCTCTCTACGGATGGAAGTAATAATACCGATTCAAAACTGTATCCAATTGTTGTTTTTTTTTTTTGATCCAGAGTCTTCAAAAATTGAGTGCAGTTTACTTTATGTTCCTACTTTAGAAGGACATTTGACAGGCTTTAATATAGGACAGCTAATTATTAAAACTTTAAAAGAAAATGCAGGCCCTCTGGATAATTGCTTAGCACTTGGTGCCGATAATGCACCAGTATTGGTAGGCTTGGAAGACTGGTGTTGCAGGCATCTTAAGAAAAGGAAAGTTCAGATTATGAGGTGCACCTGTCACCTCTTAAATTTAGCAGCTGAAAAAAGGCAGCTTCTTTACCAATAAATGTGGATGAACACATTGTTGATATTTATTATTATCTTGAAAGGAGTTCTAAAAGGAAGGAAAAATTGAAACAATCCATCCAAGTCTTCATTCAAGTTTTCTAACAGCTGCATAACAGCAGTTTACAATTAGAAAACTTGAATGAAGTTATAAAATCAGCTAGGATTGACACCCAGTGGAGTTTAATTGGAAAAGTGAAATGTGCTGATGGAATTGTTGCGAAAAGGAGGACTAAATGTAGATCTAATATTAGTGATGACACATTCGAAAAACTTCTATTAGCGAAAACAGGCCTACGTGGCAATTGCTGTGAACAAAATTATGAAGTTTCTTTCTTAAAGAAAGCAAAATCTGCCACTGTTTATAACATTTGTACGAAGTTTTTTTTTTTTTTTTTTTTGTTCTTTTTTTTTTTTTTTTTTTTTTTTTTTTTTTTTTTTTTTTTTAATCTTTTTTTTTTTTTTTTTTTTTTTTTTTTTTTTTTTTGTTTTTTTTTTTTTTTTTTTTTTTTTTTTTTTTTTTTTTTTTTTTTTTTTTTTTTTTTTTTGTTTGTTTGTTCTTTTTTTTTTGTTTTTTTTTTTTTTTTTTTTTTTTTTTTTTTTTTTTTTTATTTTTTTTTTTTTTTTTTTTTTAACTTTTTTTTGTGTCTTTTTTTTTTTTTTTTTTCCCTTAAACGATTGCAAGTAATAAAAATGTTTTTTATGTGTAGGGTATTTTTGTGTTGCTTGCATTTAAGAATTAGTTACTATTTAAAGTTAATTCATTATTAAAAACTATATTTTTATCATTTAAAAAGTCTTTTTAACATTATGAAAAATCTCCTGATTTCTTAAAAAAAATCTCCTGATTTTTGAGTGTCATAGGTTGGCAAGTATGAACATATTAACATGTACTTCTCTTAGATTGTACTAGAAAAGTGTTTTTATGTAGAGTGGGATTTTTTGAATGAATTTTAATTTGTAATAGCAGTTTTATATTATTATGATAAATTTAGAAAAGATTTTGCTGAGTTTTCTAAAGAAATCTTATATTGAAACTACAGCTTATTTTAGAATCTTGGGAATTAAAAAAGCATTAGTGTGACATTTATCATTTTTATGAGGTAGCTTTTGATGCACAAATTATTTTACATAAGTAATGGTTTGTTATTTGAGAGATGTGAGCAACTGTGTTGATAATCTGTTACTCATAAAAGTTATTTTTTACTTTTCTTTCTCTCATTTTATTTAATATGCTTTGTTATGCATGCTTTTAGAGCCAGAAGATCCTGCAATTTTTGATGCTCCGCCACCTCCTACTACAATTCTTGAAGCACTGCAACAAAGACTTGAGAAGTACACTAAGACGAAAGAAGCTGCTGAGTTGGAGAGAAACAGTGGGAAAGTTAGGCGACTTCAAAGAATAATCAAAGTATAGAATACTGTGGAAATATTTAAATATAAAAATTTCTTGAAACAGAGAACTGTATTTATTCATGTGTTTATTTGGTTTTCTTTCTTTTTTAAAAATCAAAAGAGGAAAATAATGTGGTGTGTACCCTTTCTGAAAAGAGAGTTTAAAACAAGAACTTAACAATTTAAAGCACATATGAATAGCTATACTAAACTATTTATAATAACATAACTAACATTACTGTCTTATGAAAATTACTGTTACAAGTTAATCTAGTGAATCAATTAGTTTATCGGAACGATTAATCATTGGTTAAGATTAGTATCATAGTCTGAAAGCTGCATTAAACAAAACTTTTATTAATTGAACCAAAATGGTTTTGTTTTTATTGATAATCCATAACTTAATATTACAATAACTATTCAACTGTTAGTTGCAATATAACCACAGATTCATCTCATCAGAGAACACTATGTTCTTTCAAAATTTATTAGAGTATTGCATATTATGTGAAATTCCTCCTCATTAGAAATTTCTGTACGTTATTTGTTATTTATTGTTTCTCATCCACCAAGCTTTTTGTGCAGCTTCCCTCTCAAAAAAAAAAAAAAAAAAAAAAAAAAAAAAAAAAAAATTGAACAGGGGAATAAACAATCCAGCCATAAGCAATAAACAATCCAGCTCTCTGTTATGGGAATTCTGAATTAAAGCAGACACAAATACAACAGGAAAAATGGGATGGTGTTCCTTTGCTGAAACCACATGTGCTATATTACAGAGAGAGAACTTTTCTTAGTTTAGGAAAAGTAGTCTTAAGATGTGTCGGTACATTCATGCATTCATATCTGGAGGTAAAAAGCCTTACTAAAATATCTTTCATCTTTCAAGTCTAAATTTTGATTAAGAAATCTTGTTATGAGTTTTACTGTGAAAGTTCACATTTAAATGACTTCTAGCCATTCCAGGTCTCATCTAGTATTGTTTGCTGAAGTCAGTGTTGATGATCATTGATCTGAATATCCAGGTTTACATCATAAACATCTGCAGGCTGTGCATTTCTACCAATGTGCAATTTTTCTTAAGGGGTGCCTTGTTACAGAGATGCCAGTCAGTTGGTTGAAACATATTCTGGGCTGACTAATTGGTTTGAAATCATTCAGCATGCAATCAATCAGCTATCTGCCCATTGTAGCAAACTTTCTTGTACACTGAGATCCATATTCAAATGTTCAGCATTGTTGTATCCTTTCATGCTATAATTTCAGTAATTTATCCTTCCTTAATGATTTGCCTAAGTATCTTATTAAAGCTTTAAAGATTTTAAACAAAATTCTATGTAAAAACATTCAGATCTAATTTTTATTGGGAATCTCAAAAATTAGGAAATCCGCTCGTATTTTATGATACTCTTCCTCTTGTGTGTATGTGTAAAATTATGTGTTTGCGAAAAGAAGAATGTTTAAAATTTAAAATACTCATAACTTAGAAAAAATGTAAATATTTCATGTAACAGAAAGAAAATATGTTATAGTTAAAAAAATTGACTTTTTTTTTTTTTAATCTGTTTTTTTTTTATTATCTTTTATGTACTGGCAAAAGAAAAGATTAAGTAGAAATTACATTAAATGCTTCCAGTTTGGAAGATTTAACGTTTTTCATTCAAAGTAGAGCACATAGCTTTTATAGATTTTTACATTTGTTTTGTTTCCATTTTGTAAGCTGGTTTGTTTCCAGTTTGGATATTATTATATTTTTCTTGCTTTTTTAATTATCTAAGTACCTGCCTGTAAATTTTAATGTATACTATAGGGTGATTGTGCATTGAAGTGATATTGGGTACTGTTGAGGGGTAGCTAAAAGCACACTGGTTGAGTAACTTATCATTCCCTGTGTGGAATTTGAGTGATATACATCGCTACATGAATGCAGAGCTCACTGATGTGAATTTTATTTACAGGACTGTGAACAGAAATGGAGCAGCTGCTCAAAGGAGGTACTTGGGAATCATTCTCTGTACCTTCTTTTTTAGCAGCAGTAAAATAAACGATAAAATGCGTGTTGATCAGCTTCATGTTTATTTAGTGATGCATGCTGCTTGAAATAAGGAATGATAACCATGCTAGCAGAATGCTTCTACCTATTACTCAACAACACCCAGTAACACACCAATGAACCATTTCTACTCACACATTTCATTACAAAATTTGCTAATACAGATTCCTTCTATCTGCCTTTACATTTTTGCCATGTATTTTTGAGCAACTTTGTGTTTTGTGAACGTGTATCTCTTTTTCACCCTAGCAATATCAAGTGGCAATCAGAGATTTTAAAGCTGGGAAAGAAGTCAATTTTGATGAGCTCCCAACACCTCCAGGTGAACATTTTGTACATGTAGGGTTCAGCAAAAGTAAAATATTTTACTCTGTAGCTGATAATCTGCGCTTAGTTCTTTAGCTCAGGATTACAAGTAGGGATATCTTATAGGAAATCATAATTATTATCAAATTATAATAATTTTGAAGAATATCATAGCATATTTTATGTGAACCATTTAAAATGCTGTCCCATGTATTTCATTAAAATATTTAGTAAAGGAGGTTATTTCTGTCAGACTTAAAACATTTTTTTTTTTTTTAATTATCTGACTGAATATTAACTTTGTGTGCATAAATATGTAGTTTAAGGCAGTATAATGTGTAGCCAATGACAAGTATTTTTTAAAAACTTTCATTGTATTTATGCCCAATTGGTGTCAGTTTATATAAATATGTATCTGATTTTTAAGATAAGTAAAATTCAGTCTGAGATTGGCATCGATCTCAGACTGAATTTTAGAGTAATATGGAAAGAAATTCTCTAAAACTAACAATATAAAATTTAGAGTAATATGGAAAGAAATTCTCTAAAACTAATACTAATAATTAATACATTTAGCTTCTCATTTTGGATTTAACTAATGAAGATCTATATTTTAACAACATTCATAGGCTAGATTTGTGTAATTAGTTATTTTACTGTTTGTTGTCAGAATTGTTATTTCCTTAAGATAGTATTCATAAGATATTTCCTTAAGATAGTATTCAAGTCATTAAAGAATATTAGGAAACAAATATTTTAATATATTACCTGTTAAAATACGGCCGTGTCTGAAAAAGTCCTTACCTGGCCTTTATTTTCACGACTCTTAGTCACAGACATATACAATACAAAGTCCGAAATCCGGACTTGTCGGGACTTCAGCGATTCTGGATTTGGAATTTTTCCGGATATTAGATCATCAGTTTAAATCTAGCAAGATGGCATGTAGAAATTATAAAATTAAAAATATGAAATCGTGATTTAGGAAATAATAAAGTATTTATGATCTAAAGGGTATCAAAATTTACAAAAAAAGCTTAATAAAGTACAAAGTCCGTAATCCAGACTCGTCCGAACTTCGGCAATTCCGGATTATAGATCTTCAATTTAAATCTGGTAAGATGGCATGCAGAAATTATACAATTAAAAATACGAAACAGTAATTTATGAAATAAAGAGAAATTAGGATCTAAAGGGTATCAAAATTTACAAAAGAAAAGCTTAGTATTTATTTGTTTACTTTATTAAACATTTCTTTCAATGTAAGTTGTTTAAGTTGCTTCGTTTTTTGTGCTAATACTTTCTCTTTATTTCTATAAACAGACATAATTTCTTGTTCAGTTACAAAGTTCCACTGTTCAAGTCTTGTAATTGCTGTGTCGAGAATACCGACTACCTTGTCAATCGAAATTTTTTTTTTTTTTGTTTGATGGACATTAAAACATGCTTCACTTGTGATCGAAATTTTTTTTGCTTTTGTTTCAGAATTGGGAAACTGCTTTACTAATCGTTACTTTAAATTGCAAGTTTCTTCGATTACATATATCGAAAATTCAAGCTTTCTTTTTATAAAATTACTCTAACAGTCTGCAAAAAATAAGACGGATCCAATTAGAAGATTAAGGAACAGCGCAATCTGCAACATTAACTGAAATGCCTTAGAATCAGTTAAAATAATTTTAGCCTAGCTTATACCATCCATTATACATTAAACGCGCATGCGTAAAGTATACAAAAAAAAAGTTTGAGACTTTGAGGTCCGGATTATGGAATTTGTACTGTATTTATTTGTTTACCTTATTAAACACTTCTTTCAATGTAAGTTGTTTAAGATTTTTTTTTTTTTTTTTTTTTTTGTTTTTTTTTTTTTTTTTTTTTTTTTTTTATTTTTTTTTTTTTTTTTTTTTTTTTTTTTTTTTTTTTTTTTTTTTTTTTTTTTTGTTTTTTTTTTTTTTTTTTTGCTAATACTTTGTCTTTATTTCTGTAGACAGACATAATCTCTTGTTTAGTTACAAAGTTCCATTGTTGAAGTCCTGTAACTGCTGTGTCAAGAATTTCGACTAACTTGTCAATCGAATTTTTTTCATTTTCAGTAACTTCTCTGTCACTTTCTTCACTATTGGTAGAGGTATTTTCTAAATCAGCACCATACTACAGATTTCACCATTCGTTAATTGTATTGATGATTGAGGAGAATTGTCATCACAATGAAAAACTTCTTTTATATCATCAGCATTTATTACTGCTTCTCCACATTTCTTTACAAAATCTGTTAATTGGAAAATTTTACCTTTGTTTTGCGATATCTGAAAACCTTTAAAATTCGCAGCTATCATCATCAATTTTAGCTGTTCTTCACTATACATATTTGGCTATGCATCAAGAGCTTGGTGACTAACAACAAGTTCTTCCGTTAAATTTTATCTTGCTTCTATTGCGCACTGAGGCAATTAAGCCTGAATTGTATTAGTTTAGTTATTTATTATACTTATGTCTATTTCTTGCACATGCTTAAGGCTTATCAGAGTTCTGAATAAATTCTCTTATATACTTAAGCCTTATTGAGGGCCTGTGCTAAATATCTTACCACCTGATGCAGTCTCTGTGCGTCCTGAACTCTGCATCTCGGTGCGGCCATACAAGCCCTTGTGCTGGTTCTGGGTTTATGTGAATAACAAATCAGTTATTCTTAATTCAAATAGCCCTAAATGTAATCTTTGGGTTTATGAGTATCATCAAAAAATCTATTTTTAGCATATGGAAAAAAATATTTGGTAAGTTTTTCCTCGTCGTCATTTTTTAGCTCATTGAACTTAAATCTGTAATTATCGCCAAGCGTAATGTTAACATTTAACATACTCCTTTATTATTCAATTACTTACATAAAAAATGTTTAGGCATTGCTACATGAGTCATTACTCAAGTTGTCATGTTTTAATAACTATGAGGTGGTGAAAGAAAAGTGTAATAAAAGTAATGATTTGCCAGGTTGGCGTCAGATCGATGTATCTATGTGGAATGTTTCGGTTTGAGATGGGTGCCAAGCAGATACGCAGCAACAGAGCCAAATTACTGATCATCCAAATTTATGCTAAAATGGTGTTTCTTCAATGAAAAGGTATTTAATTTAGTGTCGAAGTGAAATTAAGAATCGGGACTCTCCAGATGTTTTATTATGCGTGTAGGGGGAATCAAATACGCATGTGTAAAGCCTACGAGGAAAACGTTGTTGGAGGTTTTGAGGTCCAGATTTTAGATCATTCCGGTTGTTGGACAGTGATGGAAAGAATTGTTTCTGCTCTTTTAAATATAAAGAAATAATTTTTCTGAAAATTACAAAATCTTAATTCTTTGCATGTTCCTTAGGTCCCTGTAGTTACATTTAAAAAAATTTTGTACTCATTATAAAAACATAAAAATGTTTCATTCTCATATGACAAAAATTGACAGACATATTTGATACAAAAATTCAGAATCATATTCAGTGACTGTAAAAGCAAAATATTTGGAGTGTGACAAAAACTTCAAAGATGATATCTTATATACAGAATCTTATGCAATTAGTGTCCTTCAATATTGACAGATAGCCAACTCATAATACTATTTTCATTAATTAAAAATGAGCAATATTGGTACTTCAGTAGTTTTTTTTACAGTTACCAGATTATGATTCTAAAATAATAAAACTTTATGATAATATTAATAACATATTTTTAGACGTTGAAAACTTATGAATTACTTGTGTGAAAATTCTTCAGCATACTAAATATAACAATTATTTAATTTTTTTTATTAACCAGTCCCTCAAAGTTTCATTAAGTACAACTGTTGTGAATCCTCGGTCGATACAATGTAATAAGATATAGACAAAATCTTACAATAAAATAAGAAGATTACCATATCAACACCAAATGCAATTTTATTCACAAACTCATTAGTAAAAAAAACTCATCTTCTGTTTTTAAAAGCAAATCGGATTCTAAAGATAAAAATTGTTGCCAAAAACGATAATGCAGTAATATGCAAATTAAACATTTATAAGTATTAAAATATTTGCGAGTTACTTTCAAAACTAATTGTTTACATTTTATGCCATTACATTCACTCCCCTTCCAGTAATGAACGTTACGTTAGAAAGATTGGAAAAGTAACGGTGCTTATCATCAAAATAATGACAAAATTAATGTATAAACAAAGTGTCAGTTTTTGAATTGCAGTGGTGTCTTAAGAATTCTGCCAGTTAGAGATTGTCTTAAAGCTGATTTGATTTTAGGTTGAGCCACAGTTATTTTAGTTTGAATTTCAATCAGCGTATGCTTATTATTTACACAATTTGAAGCCATAAGTTTCTCTTATTCAGGGATTTGTTGTGGCAGAATATATACTGGCTTCAATCTGTCTATTGATGCATTCACTTGTTTATTCTTTTGCCTGAGAGTAAAATATTTTGGTAAACAATTGATAACCAAATACGGACCTTCATATGGGGGTTTGAGTTGCTTCCGATCTCTGTCAATGTGAAGAAAACCTTGAGAAACTGATTCTAAATCTTTATGTACAAACAATTTAGGGATACCTTTCTGTTGTATTTTCTTCAGCCTAATTAATTCCATATACTTTTGTAATTTATGTATAAAAGTTCCAGGCGGTGTTTCTCTTTAAAGAATTCTCCAGGAAATTTAATATTTTCTCCAAATACCATTTCCGCTATAGAATAATTAGTATTGTTGTGGATTGTCACTCATAGGCCTTAAAGAACCATTGGTAATGTTTCACTCAAAATTTTATTATTATGGGCTCTTAAAGCAGCTTCCATTGATCTGTGAAGCCATTCTACCTTGCTGTTGCACTGCGGGTGATAGGCTGTAGTAAGTGAAAGCTAAATGCCGCAGATTCTTGACAGGGTTTGAAATATTTCAGATGAAAATTCAGTTCTTCGATCAGTTGTTATATGCAAGAGTATTCCAAATCTTGCTATCCAATTGCTATAGAAAGCTTTTGCTACAGTTTCTTCCG